GGAGGATAGGGAGAGCGACCGACACTCGTCTCCCGTCGGCCCGTCAGAGTCGCGGAGGATAGGGCGGGTGGCGCATCACCATACCAACACGCCTCTTCCTCCGCGACTCCACCTCGGCTGCAGCGGTAGGGGGAGAGGACACCCCTCTCAACGCAGCCCACCAATACACATCCGAAGTGGGCTCGCCAAGCCCACTCGGAGAGGTCACCTCGGGCCGGCCCTACACCACGAGCCAGCCAAGCGGTTCCTCTTTGTTCACCGCAGATGACCAAGCCACGGCTTCTAAGCCGCCATGCCACGACAAGGCGGGAACCCGTTCGGGGGGGACCTCCTACCACCTAGTGAGCACTTTAAGAGTGCTCTATGAATGTAGTGGAGATAGTTTAAGGCTTAAGCTATATGAGTTGCTAAGTGAGTAGTTTCTACGCTTTCGTTCCGAGGAAAGTAAAATTAAGTAGTTTCATTTAAGAAAAAATTGAAAATGCTCCCAAACTTTAAAAAAATAATAAAGAATAACTTAAAAAAAGATAAAATATTTTTTTATTTATTGCTATATTATTATGTATAATAATGTTAAGCTATGTGATTTGCATGGCAGCGGCTTTAGAATCCTGCAATCCCTTCTCTTCCCGTGGGTGTCGTACGAGTTGACTAAGGGAGAAATATATAATACAGTGGTAGAGCCACGCGGCAGCTTTTGCTGTCGCACGGATGGGCCGGCTCGAACCGGGGTAGTACCACGACCTCACAGAAAACCAGCGTGAAGTAGAGGTTTACCTCTGCGTTTCGCTTGGTGAGTGCAGGTGGCCGGAGGCCCTTTTTACTGGAAATGAGGCATTCCATCTTAGTCCTCGCGGGTGACAGCGCATCTGCATTTTGATTTGTAACAGAGGATAGATGTAGATGTCTATGGGCCGCAGCAACCACTTACCATCAGGTGGACTGCGTGCTCGTTTGTCACCCTCATCCTATAAAAAAAAAAAAAAAAAAGAAAGGCCAAAGTCAAAAAGAAAAACGGCGACAAGCTTTGGCATCCGACAGGCGGTGGAATAACCATCTCAATTCTTATGTCAGGCCAAAAATATCCAGATCTGTGATTGGTTGCAGCGTCAGAGGTGCGACGTATGTCTGATACTGCGATCACCAACCCCCTTGCCCAGCGTGGCAAATAAGGGCAATACCTTCCAATGGTAAGCACCAAAAAATATGGCCTCCAGTTCTCGGCCGTCCCTATGTACCTGACCGTTTGTGGCGGTTATGGCAACAGTGGTACAGGGGGTGCTAAGAATCCCCGAGAGAGGGTAGGATACCACCACAAACTGGACCTGCTGACGTACAATGGATGATATCTGCGGCACGACGAGAACATTTCAGAATTATAAGTAGAGTTGAAAAATGTAAGATAGTACGTTCTGGGGTTGAGTGAAGTTCGAAAAGAGGGAGAGGGCATTAATCCTATAATCAGCCACCTACTCTACTATCACCAGAGACATGATCTTTTCCAGGGTGGAGTGGGTTTTCTCGTCAATAAAGTTTTCCGTGACAATATTTTGGAAATCTCCAGTGTGTCGACGAGTTTAGCGTATCTTGTTTTAAAATTAACTGAAAAATATACTGTAAAAGTTGTACAAGTTTACGCACCAATCATTACGCACAAACCGCACGGTTTGGGACGCAGAAATCACGGGGAGCAACTTCCTCAAAAAAGAGAGCCTTAACTTAATGAGTACTTATTTTCAAAAAAGCCCCAAAGGAAGTGAACCTTGCACAGCTCCGACAACATGACGAAAAATAAGATCGACTTCACCATGACGGACAAAAAATACATATTTAGAGATATCTCAGTGATAAATAGGTTTAATACAGGAAGCGATCATCGACTTGTTCGGGGCACTCTGAATATCGATTTCAAGACTGAAAGAGCCCGTCTGGTGAAGTCCACACTCCGACCAAATGCTTTTCGAGACATAGCGGGATCCCAACGTTTCCAGTTGGATCTCCGGAGTCGATTCAATGCCCTAAAACCCACATTGGACGTTGACGAGAATCTCACTAGTGTGGTCAAGATCTTAAGGGATGAGGGGAATAGGTTATATAGTAGGGAACATATAAGCCGGAAGTCTAAGCTCTCCGACGAGACACTTCAGCATATTCAAAAGAGACGTGAGAGAACAAAAGCCGCGCTATCAGAGCAGCTGGCACTCACCAGAATTGTAAGGAAAGCTGTACGGCAGGACCTGCGGCGCTCCAATGCCAACTTTATTCAAGAGGAAATAAAGCAAAACGAGGGTCCCAAAGTCTTTGTTCGTAAGGTTGGGAGCAGCTACATTACGAAACTATAAACATGCGATGGAAAAATCCTTACATCAAAGCCTGAGATTCTCGCTAAGATCGAAGGCTACTAGGTACACTATATGCCTCCCAAAACCAGCAACTTGACTCAAAATGCGACAATCCCAGAGCCACAATAACCCGCCACTTTACCGAGGAGCTGCCAGATATCAGTCTGTATAGAGTAGATCGAGTTGGTCCTCAGACAACTTAAAAATGGAAAAGTCCTAGGAGAGGACAGACTTAGAACAGAGCTCTTGAAAACAGGCAGATAACCACACACAGAATACCAGCGTAAAATAGCAGCTTAACTCTGCTGTGTTTCGTATGGTGAGTGTAGAGAACCGGAGACCCTTTTTACTGGAAAAGAGGTATTCCATCTTAGACCTCACGGGTGACAACACATCTGCAGATGTCTATAGATGTAGATGTCTATGGGCCACAGAAATCACTTACTATCAGGTGGACTGTGGAACATTATTTAAGCTTATTTGCAATGAATTTGATAATACTTTTACTTCTAACATAGGAATCGTAGCCAGCGATTTCGGAACCGCATTGAGTAGGACCGTAAGATAATTTGATTTTTAAGTTTTAGTTGCTTATTATCATAACGATATAGTAATACAAGTAGTAGGTACATAGTTGCAATATTATATAAAGTTACAGTCTATAGTCACACTGCTGGTCACAGGCCTACATTCATTTCTGAGAGGTTTTCCGAGAGGGGCAAGAAAATGTCCGCCATGCGGTCCTAAGCGTATTGGCGAACTTTAAACGTCTGATTTTTTTTTTATTTCTCCTACTTTGCTCACGATGTTTTCCTTCACCGCCGAGCAATTTTCAATTTTATATAAAAACATTCTGGAAGAGGAGGTAAACGGGCATATATAACTTGAGGAAGTGATCATACCTGCAACCTTAAAAATAAAAGTAGTAGGTAAAGACGACTTAATTGTTATGTATTGCTGTTTGTACTGGGTCGGGGCGCTCTGAATATCGATTTCAAGATTGAAATCGATATATATCGATTTCAAGATTGAAATCGATATTCAGAGTAGTATGCTGTGGAACAAACAGTTTATCAAAAGACCTGTGGTCTTGGATGTGTTATAAATCCTTATACTACAAAAATCTTGATTTTCTAACTCTTTTATTATTAAAAAATAACTTCCAGCGAGCAAGGAAGCTAGGCTCATGTATACTTTAAGCTCCTGTCGCTTCAAGATTGCTCCGATGTTTGCAAAAGAGCTTACACTGTGTAGTGGTTTCTCTTTATATTTGAAATAATTTAGCAGATTACCTATGAAACAGCCTTTTTATATATATAAAAAAAAACTTATCACAATTTTATTATGATTAATATTTATTTTCATTAAGATGTATACACCATGATTTTCACTTCTTGCTATTTTATTGAAAATATTGCTCTCAAAATAATTTTTGGAGAATAAAATAAGTGGGAAGAAGTTTTGATAAGTTGGATCAAGAATTAATTATAAATATTACTTAATTTTGCACACCTCGAAGTTGAAAGCGAAGAGACGAATCACTTGGAAAATCATATCATCATCAGCCTGCGGCTGGTATGTCCAGCCTCTCCCAAGGCGCGCCACTTAGCCCGATCTTCGGCTACACGCATCCAGTTGATGCCAGCGGCCTTGCGCAGATCGTCGCTCCATTTAGGCAAACGTAGTGTGGGATGACCCCTCATCCCACACTACGTTTGCCTAAACGCGGTCTCCACTCTATGATACGCCTACTTCAACGGTTATAGCTTCTGCGATAAATGTAACCAGCCCATTGCCACTTCAGCCTGCAAATACGGAAGGCTACGTCGGTGACCTTGGCTCTCCAAAGGATTTCTTCGTTACGAAACTTATTCACTAGAGAAACTCCGAGCATAGTTCTTTCCATTGCCCGCTGGATGACTTTGAACTTGTGGAATAGTCGTACCGTTAATGTCCACTATGGGCTGGTGCTGCAAAATGCCACCTAGCAGCTTTGGACTCAATGGAAAGGCGTGCTAAGAGAGATCTTACCAGCCTCGAACACAGACGTAAAGTAGCCAGCCTTTCGGTTTTCTACAGGATGCATTTCGGAGAGTGTGCGCAGCAATTGCATAATTTAATTCCCCCTCTCCCTTCCACCATCGGACAACCAGACGTTCGGCCAGTCGCCACCCTTTCGTTGTTGACTTACCACGCGTTCGAACCAAACGGTTCGCAACGTCGTTAATCATGCGTACAGCAAAGGAGTGGAATAAGTTGCCAGCATCTGTCTTTCCATCCGATTACGTGTGGGTGTTTTCAAGGCAAGAATGAATAGGCTTTTTAGGAAATTTTGTTAAGTCAGTGCGCTTCACCATCTTAGGCTACATCACCACTTACCATCAGGTGGGATCGTAGATAAGCACTGGCTTAGTAGAATATAAAAAAAAGTAAGTATCAATATCAGTATCCGAAACCATCGGGTAGGCTAAGTGCTTGCTGATATATTGGATCAACCTTACTTATTAAAATCAGATAAATTTGATTTAGTGTATTTAAAAAAACACCTTATACATATCAAACCGACCAAATTTATTCAACATTAACATTCCTTAATAATACAATATTTTATTACTAAACTATGAAACAATGAAATAGAATACCAAAATTTAATACACATTAAAAAGTGGCAATATCACTTAATGGTACCTTTGAAAAAAATGCAACAAGACTTTGAAATAACTTTTTCGCTGAAGCGTCCATCATGGGACCTCCGAATTCCTGAGATATCTGTTTCCAATTCTCGTTCAAGAAAAGAAGCATTGGCTCACCTGCAAAAGTATAAGACAAGTTAAGAAAAATCAACTTATAATCTGATGTCATATAGTTAATTTCGGATTACATAAGATAAAAAATTTATGTAATTATTTCATTTCATTACAAAAGAATAAAATTAAAAGTTATAATCAGTAAATTCATACATTACTTTTATTTCCACGAAAATAATGTAAAGGCTCCTCACTTATTTATTTATTTATAGTTTAATTATATAAGGCAAAACAAAATTTGGATTAATTTAATGGATAAATGGCATACATAATTCTGTGTAAGTTTTTTTATTATTTATATACTTTTATTTATTTATAAAATTTATTTCAAAGAGAAAACTCAAAACACGTTTAAATAAGTTATAGATCTTCTAAAATACTACTTGTTTTACTTACTTAGTTCCTTGTTTCCGTTGAACAAATTTGTTAAATCGAAATTTGCACCATTCTTTACATCAAATTTGAAACTATACGACTTTGGTATTAAGAAAACTTTTCCTTCCTTTTCCTCATTTTCGTAGTTTATTACCAAAGTAATTGCTAAATTTTCTGTAAAATAAAAAAATTATTGAACTGTTTCTCTATTCGTATTATTATATTATATTATTATATTATCGTTTTTTTAAATTGTGAAAAATATGAGTAATGCAATATTATGTTGTAATGCTATAATTATTTGTAATAAATTTATTTAATAAGATTGACGGTGGCTTGAAAAAAAAATCGTAAAGTGGAGGTGCTTCACTGTACATTTATTTTAATATGCTTAAACAACCACACCTGTAACAACTACTAGAAGTCCATAAAATTACTGTCCAGAGACTGTCAAAATTAGAAAAATACTCCAGAGCAGCGCCATAAAGCTACTGCACGACAGAATCTATTTTTTTAACGATTCATCATTAACATCATCATTACAGCCCTTCACGATCCCACTATTAAACATAGGCTTCCTCCAAGGAATCAAAATAAAACACAGTCTTGGGCTACTTGCGACCATCTATATCCCGCATGTCTTACCAGGTCACCAGGTCGCCACCCTATCTTTATGGTTTTAACCATTAACCTTGTTTAAAACTTTACTAAAAGAACTCTGTTGTCACGTTTAAATAGATCAAAGCTACTTCTAAGCAATAATATAAATGTTTTCAACCTACACTTATAAAGATACCGAGCTGAAAACTAATATTTTTACTACTTACTCAATTTTAGTTTCATTTGTCCATCTCCGGTTATAGGCAATATCAGGATGCGGCCGGCCGCTGTGTAATGGCCCTTAACGCTGCAGTCAACGTGAAAAAATATTTCCATTTTCTTTTTTTCAAGATCCCATCTATAATAAATTGTAAATATTAATTGTATAGGTTACCCTCATTTCGGTAAATAAATTGGATTGGTGGATTTAACATGAACAAAATATAGTCCACAAAATCGATTTTAACTATCGATTATACCATTAAAAAGTTTACCTGAAATTTTTTTAACCAATATTAGTTAAACTTTTCATTTGAGTTTAGTGAGTATATGAAAATTCATAAAGATATTAAAATAAATAAATTAAATACTTAAATAAATGTTACATGTAAATAAGGATACAACTAACTTAACGTTATCTACAATTGAATTCTTCAATCCTTGCAAGCGACCGTTCTTCAAACTGAACTTGAGACCAGCCAAATCGAAATTTACTTCATCCATTTCCAAAACATCTAATACCTCAACACCCACTTGTGGCATACCAGACATAAATATTGGCATTGCTTTTTGAAAAGCCGGTATCAAACACGATGAGTCCTTTAGTTCGCATTTTTCAACTGGTAAAACTGAAAATGAAATAATTAATTAAAAAGTAAGTGTTGGTAAAATTTCTAACTGATTAAATAATAAAAAATAAACATATTATAACATTTAATGTTTAAATTTCGTATTTATAATAATATTCAGGTAATATAAGTAGTTAATATATTCAAAACCACGATCTTTAAAGAACAATATCAACATCAACGTAAACACAATAAAATAGTACATTAAAATAGCGCTTAAGTTGAGTCTTGAAAATTTCACAGAATTATATATGTAGGTACTCCAAAGTATGTATTAACATAAGGAAAAAAATTATGTTTTCTTCAGCTTCATATAAACTGTAAAAGTGAATAATCACCAATATAATAATATCTCATAACGTATTTCCTGAGCTTAAAAAGAAATTCTGAAATCCAGTTTAGTTTGTATCTTAGTAAATTATCAATTGTTTTCAATATATACAATTTTAAAGTACGAGCAAATCATACTTGAAACTTTAAGCTTCGAAGTGTCAGAAATGTTGAAATGTATTAATAAATCTCCTGAAATTACAATACTTGTAAAACTAGGCTTTAATCTTATAAATGTAACAACACCTTTGTCTGTAACACCTTTGCCTCTTCCATAGCCATATTTATTTATTTATTAAATCCTTCCGTAAAAAAATACTTTAATAAAAATTATACAACACAACAATGACAACCAAAGTGTCTTTTCATGTAACATACAAAGCTAATATTATCAACAGTGGATTTCATTTACCAGCAACGGTTAAAAAGAGCAATCAAAAAAACTGACAGCGAAAAAAGTTCTATTGAAAGCATAAAAAATGTAAAATATATACAAAAATGGTACGAATGTACATAAGTTAATACTAAGAAATAAATAAATAAATAAATTTTGTAGCATGCTCACATAAAATCAGTTACAGTAACAAATAGATACTTTGTACCGCAAAAATTAAATTAAATTATTTACAATACATTTTATACATAACCAAGACACGGTCTAAAACATTTTTTTTTTAATTAATACATGTTAGAATATACTTTTTACACTCCTTCAAAACCGATTATATTTAAACAAAGATAACTCACCTGCAGAACTGACAATTCCTACTAATATAATTTTAAACAAGAAAATAAAATTCAACATGTTGCTCTGCATTACAAATTTATAATAAGGCTTTAAAGTTATCACCGCACTGTTGTAAAATTATTTTGTAAGGGAATATATACTCACTGCGAAGTGAGGTTGTGTGCAAAAAACTTGAAGAGCAACGATAAATGATATTGTAGTAATAGTTGCGGTTATAAAAATAACTCTTTACAATTTACAATAACTCATGTATTTTACACCATTACTAACATTACTAAGAGCTATTAAAACAATTAGATAATACGACATTAGCTACCACTTAAATATATGGAACATAATAACACAGTTAATAATACATATTTTCATTTATTTAATATGCCGGTAGGGCCTGTAATATTTCACAAACTGAACTAAAACTTCCTTCCACTATTCCAATACAAGTAACAGTTATAAAGGTTTATTAATATAAAAGAACTTCCGAAATTTATTATTTTTACGTCTAAAATTTTAAAACCTGGGTAAGCGATAAGGATATACGTTATATCCAGTATGCAAAGCAAACTTTGTTTATATAGGAAAAAGTAATGAAAAAATACAACCCCGTTCAGAGAACAAGTCATTTTATGAGATGCAGATGTCTATGAGCCATAACATCCACTAACCATCAGAAAATTCACAAAATTCAAACAAATTTCAGTGATCACGTGCTACCGAAAAAGAGGAAAAAAATAATGTGAGAGAGTTTAAAAAATAATGTGTAATTGATATAAGATCAAGAGATTAGACGTAGCCGAAACATTTGTTACCCTTACTCTATACAGAAAAATTGTATATATATGTAAATTAAACAATAACAAAAAAAAGATCAATGTCCAATTACAATCTCCGTATAGTTTTATAATGTGTGTATCGAAAATTAAATTCATGCTACTAAAATATCTAAAACCATATGAAAATAAAGACTTAAATCTGTAAATTTTATTTTAGAGACTGATTTTTCAATAAATATATAAAACTTATTCATCAAATAAATTATAACCTGACTGAATATAAAAGTGAAACAATTGAACTAATTTATTTATACGTAATTCTTAATTTATTTGTGTTGTACTTTATCCTATGAGTAATTTTAATCTAACATTTGAAAAATCATCCCTAATTCTATAAGGCGACTGGTTTTCAATGATCAGTTTTTAGTTTGCCGTTATGAGTATGTCAGATCTTTAAACAAAATTAAAACAAATTAATTCATAAAAAAAATCTATTATAAACCTTTTTAAATGAAATCCTATTATAAACAGCAGCGATTATAACAAGCTTTTATTATAAGCTTTATTGTATAAGTACTTAATTAAATATTTATTTTTATAAACGCTTTTAACGGCTAAACTTAAGGCAGTATGGATACTGCTAATAAAGATGTGATTGAATAGATGAATAAGACTTTATCTTAATATTGAAATATTTTACGTCGACAACCGAATTACCAGAATTACACAATTTACAAAATGAAATCTTGTGGGGAAAAAAGATGGATAGAGAAATAATGAGCCAGGAGACCATTTAACGTACTACGCAGCAAAATAACCACACTTTCTTTAACATCAAATCATTACAGCCTTTCATAAGTCCACTACTGAACATAGGCCTCCCCCAAGGAATGCCACAAAGCACGGTCCTGAGCCACCTGCATCCATCGACCTCCTGCATGTCTTACCAGGTCGTTACTCTATCTCGTGGGGGGTCGCCCTACACTTCGCCTACCGGAACGAAGCTGCCACTCGATAACCTTTCTTCCCCATCGGTTGTCGGTTCTTCGAGCTATATGGCTGGGCCACTGCCACTTCAGCTTACTAATCCATGCTATGTTGGTTACTCTGATTCTACTGCGGATATCCTCATTTCTATGTTTCTCACGCAGAGAAACCCCGAGCATAGCCCTCTCCATAGCTCGCTGAGCGACCTTGAGCTTCCTCATACGGCCAGCAGTGAAGGACCACGTCTCAGATCCGTAAGCCATCACTGGCAACACGCACTGGCACTTTAACATCAAAAGGAGGCCTGAAATCTCGTTTAATGCGTATGTAAATTTAATGTTACCTCAAAAATTTCCAACAAAAAACTTTATCACAGATTAAGTTAAGATTTAAGAAGATCTAATCTATTACTCAATTAAAAAGAAACTAAGTAATACACATTTTACACCTCGGTGACTTCTTAATATTAACAAAATTGTGAGCAGGAATTGCATGACTTAATCTCCCTCTCTCTTCCACCATCGTTTAACCAGCCGCTCGACCAACCTCCATCGAGTTGTATACAACATAATACGCATTCGAAGCAAACGGTTTGTATTAAGTTTGTAATGGCGTTAAATGACTAGTCAGCATCTGCCTTTCCATCCGTATATAATTTGGGTATCTTTACTAAATTAATAGGTTTTTGTTATGCTAAGCCAGTGCGCTTTGCTTTCTTTAGAGGTACATCACCATTTACCATCAAGCGGGACAGTAATCGTAGTAGTTATCAACTAAGCAGGACATATTATTATAGTGTCAAGACAAGGGAACAATCATAATAGATGGTTGCTAACAACTAATACAAAACTAACAAATATCTACAACGTTTTCTTTTTCAATTCTTATCACTTGAAGTTGAAGCTGAGGACCTGCGGCGTATTTCCCACTGGCCGGTGACATCCTGGACGTCAGTTTGAATGAAACTGGAATGGCTCTCCAGCAGTCTAACAACGGCATAACACAGAATAAGGATGTAATTCCCGCCGAGCTTCTGAATGCGGTTGAATAACCATTGGATAACCTTCTGAGCCGAGTCTACATGCTTTTTTCGGCTTCCGAATAAGCCGGTTTCCGAAAAGGCTTTACTACCATAGACCAAATTCATACCTTTCAGTAAATACGTGCTAAACCTATTTCATTGCAGAGAAATGAAAGACAGTGTAATCTATATATATGTTGTCTACATATGTATGTATATACAAATCAATTGCTGTGTGTTTGTCTAACAAAAACTCGGAGGTGGCTCGACCGCTTTTGATGAAATTTTTGTGTGTTTGAGTGGATCCTGGATGGTTTAGATTCTCAATAAGACCCAGTAGGTGGCGCTGTTTTCCAGATCCAGAAATCACCCGTGCGAAACCGCAGCGAATCGCTAGTGTTTAATAAAAAACTAACTGTCTACTGTGGAACGGGTCGGGGTGATAATGAATTAAAACTTAAGGGTCTTTTATGCATAATACCAAAAAAATTTTAAACAAAATTTAAAAACCTCTTTCAGAAATTGTGTCAAAAAGCCTACATATAAAATAGATACTCCTATATTGTTGACAAAAAGATTTAAATAATTGTTGACAATGATACTGTTTAGAAATAAAAAGTTCCCTAGTTGATATTATTTCCAAATATTTATTGACCTTTAAATTGTGTTACTTTACTATAAATTGTAATTGTAATAATGCTTACTTTAGTAGTCGTGTAGTAGTAGTTTTTAGGTAGTGTAGATCATAACGTTCATATGAGCTTTAGACAAGCCTAAATTGACTAAATTTTATCTTTTTTTTATAGGATAAGGGTGACAAACGGGCATACAGTTCACCTGATGGTAAGTGGTTGCTGTGGCCTATAATAGACATCTACATCTATTTTCGATTATGAATTAAAATGCAGTTGCGTTGTCACCCGTGAGGACTAAGATGGAATGCCTCGTTTCCAGTAAAGAGGGTCTGCGGTTCTCTACACTCACCATACGAAATAAAGCAGCGTTAAGCTGCTATTTTACGCTGGTATTCTGTGAGAGCGTGGTCCTTCCCCGATCAAGCCGACTAATTCGTGCTACAACCATAATATACAGCGTAGCTCTATGACGTTAATATTATCTGTTCGTTCTGTCCAAGAAAAGTTTTCATCGCTGAATTGTAAGAAATTTTTAAGTTACTAAACTGGAAAGGATACTGTATTAATATCGATGGCGAGTAAATCGCTTACCTTTAACTTTCTTCAGATATAGTGACCTAGGGCAGAATCGCTGGAGGACATTAGGACTATGCTTCTTCACCTCAATAATTATCTCCCGACGGATAGGTCTTAAGATGAACACGGACAAGAAAGACAAAGGTTATAATAACGGCCATGCAACATATACGCCGGTAGTCGTTAGGACTATGCCAGGTGTTATATCGTTTTATACAAAGCATAAACATATGTAGATACTTACCTGTCCATATAAGATAAGACACACATATAACAATCAATCATAACTCCAGTGTACAAGAATGGGGATGGAGAAGATGTTAATAATTATAGACCTATCACTGTACTGCCAGCAATATCCAAAATTATTGCAAAACTTATCAACAAAAGACTTCTGTGTTACCTCACTGATTTTAATATCCTGTCTGAATCACAATATGGTTTCCGCAGTAGAAAAAATACAGAAGATGCGGTGACTGCATTAACTTCTCAAATTGTTGATAAACTGGATAGTAAAGCAAAATGTCTGGCAGTATTTTTGGATTTGAAAAAAGCGTTTGATACTGTCTCTATCCCCATCCTTGTACAGAAAATGGAAGATGTGGGTATACGAGGTATTCCACTTGGGCTACTTAAGGACTACCTTATGGGGAAGGCACAGAGAGTAAAAGTGGGTCATACTATAAGCGATAAAATGAATGTGGCTTACGGTGTTCCGCAGGGCAGTGTCTTGGGCTCAACCCTTTTCCTTATCTACATTAATGACCTCTGTAACATAAAGACTGGGGATGCCAGGATCTTTTCTTATGCAGATGACACTGCTGTGGTTCTTTATGGATCATCTTGGACTGCAGTGAAAACTAAGGCTGAAAATGGGTTATCAGAAATTGGTGAGTGGCTTAAAACTAATCTGTTGACACTAAACACACAAAGGACTAATTACATGTGTTTCTCAATTTTAGACAGTAATCAACCCGGTAATGATTTAAACATTCAAATACATATCTATGATTGTGATAGGGATGCTAACTGTCGCTGTGCCTCTATATCTAAGGTAGCATCAACTAA